GTACCCTCGTACAACCTACCTAGACAGAATCATAAAAAATAAAAAATCTGAACAGATTTATAACTAGTAAGGAGATTGAAGCAGTAATCAAAAACATCCCAACAAAGGGCTGGTTGGTTAGTTCAGTTGGTTAGAGTGTGGTGCTGTAACACCAAGGTCAAGAGTTCAGATCCCTGGGCCGAGCCCATGGCGCACTCGGGAGAGTGCGGCGCTGGCGCTCCCACCACGGGTTCGGATCCTGTATAGGGATGACCGGTGCGCTCACAGTGCTCACTGGCTGAGTGCGGTGCGGCCAGTCTCAAAAAGGACAAAAAAAAAAAAAGAGTTCAGATCCCTGTACCAGCTAGCTGCCAAAAAATAAATTAAATAAATAAATAACAAAAACTTCCCAACAAAGAAAAGCCCATGACCAAGACTGGCTTCATTGGACAACTCTACTAAACATTTAAAGAACTAACATCAATCCTTCTCAAACTCTTCCAAGGAACTGAAGAGTAGGGAAAACTTCCAAACTCATTGTATGAGGCTATCATTACCTTGAAACCAAAACCAGACAAGGACACAAGAAAACTACAGACCAACATCTCCAATGAATATTGATGCAAAATCCTCATACTAGCAAACAATTCAACAGCACATTAAAAGGCTTATACACCATGACCAGGTTGGATTTATACCTGGAATACAAGGACATTTCAACACACAAAAATTAATCAATGGCACTACATTAACAGAATGAAGGTTAAAAAATACATGATCATCTCAATTGATGCAGAAAAGGCATTTGACAAAATTCAATAATCTTTCATGATAAAAATACTCAACAAACTAGGAATAGAAGGAAACTACCTCAACATAATAAAAGCTGTATATGAAAAACCCACAACTAAAATGATATTCAACTGTGAAAGACTGAAAGCTTTTCTCCTAAGATCAGGAACAAGGAAAAGATGCCCATTTTCACCACATCTATTCAACGTAGTACTCGAAATCCTAGTCAGAGCAATTAGACCAGAAAAAGAAATAAAATGCACCCAAAATTGGAAAGGAAGAAGTAAAATTATATCTGCTCACAGATGGCATAATCTTATATATAGAAATCCCTTAAGAAAAACAAAACAAAAAAACCCTAAAGAAAAACAGACAAGGAAAAACAGTCAAAAAACCCTGTTAAAAGTAATAAATGATTTCAGCAAAACTGCAGGATACAAAATAACCATGTAAAAATCAACTGCATTTCTATATACTAACAATGGCCAATACAAATCAGAAATTAAGAAAAAATCCCATTAACAATAGCATCTAAAAGAATAAAATACTTAGGAATAAACTTAACCACGGAGGCAAAAGACTTATACACTGAAAAACTACAAAATGTTGTTAAATTTTAAAAAATACAAATAAATGGAAAGACATCTGGTGTTCATGGACTGGAACGATTAATATGTTAAAATGTCCAACTACCCAAAGAGATATACAAATTCAATGCAATCCCTATCAAAATCCCAGCTGTGTTTTTCTCAAGGGACCCCTAATAAGAAAAAGAACAAGTTGGAGGCCTCACACGTCCTGATTTCAAGACATACTACAAAGCAACAGTAATCAAGACTGTGGTGTGACTGGTATAAAGACAGACATATAGACCAATGGAATAGAAAAGAGACCCCATAAATAAACCCACAAACAATGCTGGGAAAACTGTATACCTGTATGCTAAAGAATGAATATGGCACACATATAAGAATTTAAATCCATGTATATAATCATTCTCAGTAGTCACACTGTAAATATCAAACCAAAAACAAAAAATTCCCCAAATACTCCATTATTCAAAACATGTTTGAAACATCTCTGGTACCATTTTATGTTTCAAAGAGAAAAATCAATTTCTTTACCTTCTAATTTACCTAATTTTTAAAGAAAACTGAAATTACCAATTTTAATAATGATATTATTAAAAGGCCTCCACAAAACTTGCCTATTTACAAAAAAAAAATCAAACCACTTTTTGCCATGTTTGAATCAATGTGTTGCTATAAAGGCAATTTCAAAAATCAACTTTAAAAAATCACTCAAATAATCAAAACATCTAATTATACACTTAACATTTCATCACTTAAGAGTATGTAAATTGTATATTAAAAAAACCTATAACATTAAACTCTAGTTAGTAAGTTTCATTTCCACAATGGTGGGGGTTAGCAATTCTGAAATGATGTTATATGCATTCTAGGCATGAGCAAATGAGTAAGTATAGTGATGTTAGAGGAAGCCAGGCTTTCACTGTTGGAGAAAGAAAATTATAAATATGAGTATGAAAAGGGGGAAAATGACGGCTGACTGGTTAGCTCAGTTGGTTAAAGTGCCCTTTTGTAATACTAAGGTCAAGGGTTTGGATACAAGTACCAGTCAGTCGTCAAAAAGAAAAAAAAAAAAGAAAGAAAAGAGGAAAGACTACAATATACCCTATAGTGGTGATTTGGAACTGAAGCATCAGTATGAATTCTTAATTTTATTTAGATAAATAAATAAATACCTATACAGGTATGTGTGTATATATGAGAGATTGTACGTGTGTATGGATCTATAACATGCGCGCTTATGCACACACATGCACACACACACATTTCCTAGCTTTGTCCACTTAGAGGGCTTAAAAGCAATGACTAACCAGTAGTACCTATCATCAAGATCTTGATTTCAAAACACAGATCTCCCTAAAAAGAACTAGGGTTCCCTGGAGAAAAACTGATTCTTAGGCTGGGGCAGAGAAAAATACAAGACGAATATAGAACAACTGGTGCACCGAAAGGAAGAATATGCTCAAAGAATGATGGAAACATATCAAAAAGACACAGGAGCCAGTTTGAAGGAGTTCCCACTGGCCAAATGGGGGACAATTTCAGCATCAAAATAAATACTGATAGTAATGGGTTATAACTCATTGAATAAAATTTAAAAAGTCATGAGCCCGTACCACTATAAATAAATATATGGGATAGAAGGGAAAGCTCTTTCTTACAGGAGAATGCCGACTAATAAATACTGAAAAAATGATGAGTTAAAAAAATCATCAATAGAGGTTAAAATTAGTGAACAAAGATATAATGAGGAATGGGATGTTTACATGGTCTCAAAATATTAATACCCATTAATGAAGTATTAATTACAAAGGGTAAAATTAAACACTTTCAATGGAGAAACATGATAGACACAGCCTTACCCAAGTGATCAAAATTATCATCCGTAACAGAATAGCTCTGTGTGCTTTCTAATATGATGCACTGAGAACACTTCTGTGGTATCCCTGCCCAAAATGTGTAATATGACAAGCAATGACTGAGGAACTGCTACAGATTAACTAAAGAGACCTGACACCTGAATGCAATGCATGATCCTGCATTTGAATCTAGACTGAGGAAAAAATTGTTTTATAAAGGATAGCAGTGGATCAACGGACAAAGCCTAAATATAGATTGTATTGTACCAGAGTTATGTAAGAGAATGTTTTTGTTCTTAGAAAATACACACTAAAGTATTTGGTAGTAAAAGAACATGATGCCTCTAACCTATTCTCAAAAACGAAAAATAATAACATTATATACATTGAGAGAGAGGGAATGAATGAGAATGATAAAACAACTAGGAGAAAATGTAAATAATGGGTAAATGTGTATAAAAGTACTTTTCATTATTCTTGCAGTTTTTCTGTAAGTTTAAAATTAAATCAAAACTAGAAATAAATAAATTAGGCTTTCCATGGTGACTATACCAAATAAATTAAACCTCATTTGTGTTAAGAATTCAGAGCTAAAATGCCTTCAAATGCATTTAGTCCAGTATTCTCATTTTACAGAAGAGAAAACTGAGGATGAGAGAGAGATACTAAGTGACTCAGACAATTTTACTACTGGTTGAACATCCCATATCTGAAAATCCAAAATCTGAAAAGCTCCAAAATCCAAAACCTTTTGACACTCAAAGGAAATGCTCATTGAAGCATTTCAGATTTTCAGATTGGGGATGCTCAACCAGTAAGTGTTACAAAAATATTCCAAAATCCAAAAAAAAAATCCAAAATAATTCTGGTCTCAAGCATTACAGATAAGGAATATTCAACCTGTACTTCAGGAATTCAGTGGCAAATTTACAACTAGATATGATCTCTTTAAAGTCCTGTATCAAGTACATCTGTTTAAAATTTTATATATATATGCATACATATGTATGTGTGTATATATGTATATAAATGTGTGTCTATATATCAAACCTCTTTATCCCTACAATTTATATGTACAAGGCTGTTTTAACGAAAAATATGGTGGTAACTTTTATTGGTTAACCAATGAAGAGGTAAATTTTGTAACAAAAGAAAATGCATATGAAACCTAAATATAATTAACTATGTAACTAAAATACTTTTTTTCCTGGTTTTGTCAAATATTTTTC